TTCCAACTGATCTCCAGACTACAGAGATCAGTTCCCCTGGAGAAGATGGCTGCTCTGTGACGTTGTACTGTGCTGAGGCCCCTCCCCTCCCTAAGCCTCCTCAAACCTGCCCCTCCCCAGGCTCCATTCCCGAAATCTTCAGGTATTTCACAATCCAGAGCAGGCAACAATATACAGAGCCCAGAGGGGCACCAGGCTGGTGTGCAAATGCTGCATGCAAAACAGTCCAGCTTGGGGAAAGGAAAACAGCCCTTTTGGTCTTGCATGTTTAAGCCATACCTGACACACAAAGGGCCTTTTGGTACCATTTTATGGTACCAGTGTTGTAAAGCTCCAAAGCTGGCCACCTCTCGGCAGTACCCTTTGGGCCGATAATGTCTCACCTCTAGGCTAATATTTTGCTGCCATCTAGTGGTGTCTTTGACAAAACCCTAGCTTGTGTCTTAATAGTCTGGAGGAGCATTACCTTAAGATCTCTGGCATCTCATCTGCCCAGAAGCTCTTTGATTACAGAAAAGAGCTCTCAGGCAACTTGAAAGATTATGATGGGATATAAGGGAGCTGATCTTTTACATATATAAACCTCAAACCGTTTTAATTACTTCTGTGGGTCACAGAGTTGCCAGTTCTCGCTTGGAAAATACTGGGAGATGGGGGGGGGGGGACCCTGAGGACGGTGGGGTTTGAGGAGGAGAGGAACCTCAGCTGGGTACCATTCCACAAAGTCCACTCTCCAAAGCATCAATTTTCTTTAGGGGAACTGATCTTTATAGTCTGGAAATCAGCTGTAGCACTAGGAGATCTCTGGGGGGGGGGCCTGGAGGTTGGCAGCCCTTGAATGCTGCAAGTGTTCCTCCATAGATGGCAGAATTGCTGGTAAACGAATGTGTCCTGCCAGAGACATTTCCACCAGAAAGCAGCTACGGCTTGTGAATTCTTGATAGAGGTTTAGATGCAGCACGTCTGTGGATGAAGGTCTGTGGATGAGGGGCCACTACAAGGATATATATCTAGATTTGAATGGCCGAGCTTATGCCAGCAGAGGGTACCCTGGTAAAACCCACACAGAATGCAGTACAGTGCCTTAGTTCTAAGACTGCATGAATGATCAGGCAGATCTGAAATGTCCGGTTCTCTAGCTCTTTTTGTTCAATAGGCTGACAGATCCTGGCATGCCGACCAAAGGGGAATTCATGCTTACTTTCCCCCCAAACAACCCCCTCCGTCTACTTCTATCTTAAGTAGTAAAATTATTCATTTCTGTACTATTTGTCCTGCTAGTGAAATGGCAATTAAGTCTCAGCTGCTGTTTTGTTCCAGAACAGAGAACAAGATAATGACTTTCTTTCCCCCCTTGCGCATGTTCTCTCTCTCACACGGATTTTAAAAAGGGCACCCTGCTCGTTGTGAATAGACCCGTTTGAGAATCATCTGCCTTGTTTCATTGATTGCTACCAACTGGTTAATAACAACCTCTTCAATCTGTACAACAACCCTGTAAGTAAGGCCAGTGCTGTTACACTCTTATTGCAAGTATGGGGGATTCAGCTGAGACAATGATTTATCCACAGCCACAGGCAAAAAGGTCTTCCCAACTCCATGCTTATTTATTTATATAAATAAAATTGATAACAGCAAGGAGCCCTTCAAATGCGAACCTGCTAGTGTGATCATAGCTGGTGTCAGTAGAATCATTTGGTTCCAATTAGTTCACCTCCATTAGTGATGCCCAACAGGGTGCCCATGGGAGCCATGGCAACCACCAGTGTTTCCTGGTACCCACTTCCTTCTTCCCTAAAGCAAAGAGCCAATTATAGTTTACCTCCCTGGGGTAGGAGTTGCTTCATTAGCGTCCAGGAGAAGTCACCTTTGTGTCTGCAGGGAGTGTCCAGAAATACCTGCCTCCATTATAGGAGGGTGCACAGTTTGGAGTCTCCTGACGGCAGCCATTTTGTGACAGGTTGCACACATCCCACGGCAGCAGCAACTTGTGTTGACTGCTGCCTTTTCTCAAAATTCCAAAAAAGCGGAGCGAGGTCGGGGATCCCTGGTCTGCATCCTGGTCAGAACTGTACTGAGGATGGAATCACTAAAATATTAAAGATTTGCATCATACAGAAAAGGCGTCACAGACTTGCTCTCTATTCTTCTCTACAGATCTCCATCCAGGAGCTTCCTGTACAATTCAAAAACAGGCCATGGAAGAGAAGAAGAGATTGGATTTATTCCCCGCCCTTCACTACCCAAAGGTGTCTCACAGCGGCTTACAAACTCCTTTCCCTTCCCCTCCCCACAACAGACACCCTGCGAGGTAGGTGGGGCTGAGAGAGCTCTGACAGAAACTGCTCTTTTTCAAGAACAGCTCTTATCAGAACTACGGCTTGCCCAAGGTCATCCAGCCAGGTGCAAGTGGAGGGGCGGGGAAACAAACCCGGTTCTCCCAGATTAGAGTCTGCGCACTTAACCACTACACCAAAGACCAAACTGGAATTGGGGGGGACGGACGTCTGAGGATTCGCACTCCCTCTGCTCTGCTCTGATAGCTCCCCGAGATGAACAAAGCAGCATTACTTGACAAGCTGAGCTAGCACACATTTTCATTCCACTTACCTCCCTCCAGTCACATGTTCTTGATGAGGTTGTGGAATAATACAAGTATCAAAATATTTGCACAAAAGTGGGCCTTTGCAACCAATAATTAGGTAGGGTTACCAACCTCCAGGTGGGGCCTGGAGATCCCCTGGTATTACAATTGATCTCCAGACTAGAGATTGAATCCCGGGAGAAAATGGCTCCTTTGGAGGGTGAACGCTCTGGCATTGTACCGTGCTGAGACCCTCCCCCCCCCCCCCAATCTCCAGGTGTGTCCTAACTCAGTGCTGGCAACCCTAAGAGACCTCATAAATAGCTATGATTCTTGACTGAGAACTGCCATGAAACTGTTCCATCAATAGCAGTTTGCTTTGAGAGGCCACAAGGTTCGTGCTTTTCATATGTGAGACTCAGGCCCAAGCTGCATGTTGCACCCATGTGCCAGGTCACAGGTGCGCGACTGGACACACGCTCAGACATACATCAGGGGAATTCACCTTAAAGAGCACTCATTTGCTTGGCGCTGTAAGAGGGAGACGCTTTCCACCCCTTTTATCTGGGTCCTCCCCTGATGTATGTCTGCCTGCAAGCCCAGACGCGCACCCGTGCCCTGGCATGTGCCAGACCTTACCGTGTCATTAACACCCTCAGGAAAGCATCTTGACTAGCAGAAAATTGCAGTGAGTGGTCTAACCTTGGCAGACATGTTGGATGAGGCTGGAGGTTTCGCCCCTCCCCAGCAACCGGTATCTTCTTCCCTCTAATCCATGCAGTCTTACTACTCTTCAGCAGAGGTTGCGACAGCAGCAACTACCATCCAATTCACACTGTGTTGCATATTCTCTGGAGCCAGCACTCAAGCTAGGCCCTCCTGTCGTGAGGCCAAGCCATAACTGCATTGTACTAATTGCCACTGTACTTAACGGGTCAACTCCGGTAAGAACATCCCATGAAGGAGCTCTCAGCTCTCAAAGCCAGCCCCTTTCTAGGCTTGGCTGTTGCAAAGAAAGCCTTACATAAGAGTTGCCCTGCTTCTATCCAGCATCCCCCGTTTCACAGAAGCCAGATGCCCTGGAGGGTTCCCTTCCTAGCATATCCCCCGTTTCACAGAAGCCAGATGCCCTTCCTAGCATTCAGGGGTTTACTGCCTCTGGCTGTGGAGGTTCCCTTTAGTCATCATGGCACATAGCCACTCATGGGCCTCACCTCCTTTTAAAGCTATTATAGAGCTTGCAAAACATGGAATGTTATCCTAGATGCTTGTTAGCCAAAGGGCAGCGAGAGAGAAACAGAGAAGCAATTTCCTCAAGCATCCTGTGTTGGATGTGGACTGCCATAAGCAAGTCAGGCCAAATTAAGCTGCAGCGAAGAGGCTGGTGGTGGGGTGTGCTACCGTACTTACCTTGCAGTACGCTCTACTTTCTGGCAGTGAGAGCCAGTTTGGTTAGGAATGCGGACTCTAATCTGGGTGGGAGAGCCGGGTTTGATTCCCCACGCCTCCACATGCAGCTGCTGGTACTCTCACGGGTAGTTCTCAGGAGAGCTCTCTCAGCCCCACTATTCTGGGGTGGGGAGGGGAGGGGAAAGGAAATTGTAAGCTGCTCTAAGACTCCTTCAGGTAGTGAAGGGTGGGGTATATAAAGCCAATTCCCTCTTCTCGAGTCAATTCTCTGTATAGAATTTCTAAATGTAAGTACATTTGCAACCAAAGTCCATGCCCTTCTGAAAGAACTCATAGTCAACGCACATACTTTGGGATATGACTGAGCATCTGGATCTCCAGAGACCCCAGAGAGGCAGCAACCCCCCCTTTTCACTCTTGAGGATAAAGCTGCAGAACCAGCTCGCAAGGCTCCATCACCACGGGCAATTAAAGGGACTTCTGACACCCTTGGTGGTGATGCTGTCTGGAGAAGGATGGCATACTTACTGTGAACTACCTGGCCGAGTTGTCACAAGCACAGGCCCTGCTCAAGCCGTTTTCACGATATATTTCCACAGTAGTGTGTTAAGCTGCGAGCTGAACAAAACCTCAAGGGAACTGAGTAAGCCGGACACACCTGGCCAGAGGATCAGGCTTTATTGTTTCAGCCAGACACATCTCAGTTGGAACGTGTTTGGGAACCAAAATAAATAAGTCTGCATGTGAGTTTGCGGAGAGCCCCCCACCCACCCCCGGGCAGTAGGCTAGCTCAGGACAGGCACTTTCCCTCTCACACTGGCCACTGGGGCTTTGGCAAAGCCTAGAGACACCAGGGTTCTTCCTCAGCAAAGCTGAAGAAAAAAACACCAGTACCCACTTGGGAGTCACCGATAAAACCCCAGTTTACAACAGCCGACCCCTCTTCCGGTGGGCATCACTTTTCAAGTGTGCTGTTCCCTCTGCTGAAACAGCACAGATCCATATATTCTAGAAAAATCTTTATTCACAAGATGGCACACACTTTTTGTATGGCTGGCAGCACACACAGGAGAAAGCTAGGGGGACAGGAGGAACCGGTACTTCTCCCATTAATACCTGGAAGCTGGGCAGATAGAGAGCTGGACCTTTTAGATTTTTTTTTTGGAAGAGAGACAAGGCTCCGATATGAGCAAGGAGCACGTACAGGCCTCGTTCGGAAGCTCGGGAGACGGACACAGAACAGACGCAGGCTTGTGGAGGAGGAGGGCACCTCTGGGTGTGCTGTGCTGTCGAGGGAAGGTGGGCTCCAGTGGGGGTGGGAACCCATCTCGAGTCACTGCTGCGGCCGTCCGTGCCCACCGCATTGGGCCAGCTGTTCAGCACAAAGGAAAGAACCCAAGTGCAGTCTCAGGTTGCTACCCAAAGATTCCCAAGTGACTCCTGTGATTAGAAGCCATTACCAGTGACAGGAAAGAGAAGCCAGGTACTGTGTCTGTCCCTGGCATAAAAGCCAAAATGTCTGGGACCGTTGTTGCTTTTCAGCCTGTGGATTGGGGTGTGTGTGTGTGAGTATGCTGGACAGCAACACATCGGCACTGCTAAGGTCAGGAAACCTGTTCTGGTGGGCATATGAGCAATCATGCAGAAACACTAACCCTCATTAGGGTCAAAACCCTGAACATTTGGTGTTGAGACACAACCTACTTGGAACCTTGGTCAGAAAAATGGCCAGGGGGGAAAATGTGCAACCAGATCATGAATTATAAAATAATTTTTTTAAAGCTACCCTTTCTTAAGTGATGCAACAAAATGTAGTCAAATAAGGCTGTCGCTCGTGATGTGGAATTACAGTCAAGGACAGAGACAGATCTAAGTGTCTAAGTTTCCTTGCAGATTACGTTGATTGGTGGACAAACTGGGTGAATTTTCACAATTGTGAAGGACAGCATTACCTAGCCAACAGCATTGGAGAATGGCAGCTAAGCAGACTCAAAGGCCCTTTTTAGGTATGGCTGTTATGACCGTCAGCAGATTCCGAGGCAAGCGGTGATGCTGTAGGATCTACAAAGGGATGCAGCTTCTATAAAACGAGAAACCAGATCAGTGCCTGGTGAGGACAGTCCATCATTTTCATCTGAGGAAGTAAAGAATCCTTTGAAGAAGGATGCCTGGATTTGAAGTGCACGTGTTCAGTAACTTTCTCTAAGGGCAAGGCCAGGCCATGGAAGACAGGGGAGGTGACTGAGGGTGCTATTCCAGGATCTTCAGTGGTGCTTAAAGGAAGGGAATTGTGCCCCCCCCCCTCCAGTTCAATTCCTGTGCTGCTCTGGAAGTATTTGACCAGGCAACAGGAATGCGAAGAACATACCTCTTGCCCTTCAAAGCTGGGCATGTGTTCGCGTTTGGGATTCAAAAGCAATGTCTGCTTCCAGCATAATTTTCAGGCTGGAAATGAGGCGTGATTTCCCTGGAACTGTCAGTCTCAGAGAGAAAGTCATTGGGAAGGCAAGTGCCAGTCCTTCCAAGACCCTCAGTTCTGAAGGAGTGGAGGTGGCTGATGGGGACTGGGTTGGAGGGGTGGGGAGGGGATTGGAAAGGATGCTAAAATTGTGCTGGAGTGACACTACATTGTTCCTAAGGTCTGAGCTTGTGTAAGTACCGGGAAGGAAACGCCAGCATCCTGGAGAAGGGTGATTTAAGAGGCAGTTCCTCCGGAGCAAAACAAGAAGTTAATAACAGGGGCCTTAAGTTAGGATTGCAAGGTCTATAGTTAAGGACACAGAAAGGAGGTGAGCGGACAAACACACACGCACGCACGCACACACGGCGTGTGCCGCTGAACCATTTCCAAGTGTGATCTAAGACAAGCCCTTGAAGGAGTCGAGGTTGAAGGCAGTCTCCAAGAAGCGCTGCAGTTCGGTCAGGTGATTCTTTTTGTTGCCTGTGGCTGGTGCAGCGGCAGGTTCACGTCCAGCGTACCTAAAAGTGGAGGGGGGGGGAGCAGAGGTTCAGGCTTTGATCCGGGGCCAGCCCAAGACCTTCTGGTCCTTGAGGCGGGAGTTTCAAATGACGCCTGCTAAAACAAAGAAGCATCTGGCCACTTGTGGGCTGGAATCTGCCACCCCACCCTGCTCCGTGGCAAAGCCAGTTCCACTGCAGATTTGTGCTCTTTGGGGCTAATCTCCGGCTGGAGGCACAGCAGGGCTAACATACACAAGCCAGAAGAGGAGCAAGACTCGAGTCCAATGGCACCTTAAAGGCCAAAAAGATTTCCCAGGGTATAAGTCAACGCTCCTGTCCGGGGTCGGCGCAGGACACGCCTCACAGCTACCCCCTCTGGTGTCTTTCAGAAGGTCACACCCTGGGAAACCTTCTTGATTGAAGGTGCCGCCGGACTTGGCTCTTACTCTTCTACGGCAGACCAACACGGCTGCCTGCCTGGAGAGATCACCTGACTTTGGGGTCTCTCTCTCAAAAATTTACCCTCCCTTCTGCCAGGGGTTAAGAAGCTGAGCTGCAGACCAGAAGGTCTGTAGTTCAGCAGTCCGAGACCCGAGTGCCGCGTGACAGAGTGAGCTCCCGTCTCTGGCCCCAGCTCCTGCCAACCCAGCAAAGTAAGCAATTGCAAGTAGATAAATAGGTACCACTTCGGTGGGAAGGTAACCGCGTTCCGTGCGCCTCGGCGTTTAGTCATGCCGGCCACATGGCCACGGAAACGTCTTCGGGCAGTTCTGGCTCTTCGGCTTGGAAATGGAGATGAGCACTGCCCCCTAGAGTCGGATTCGACTGGCTTTTGAGCAAGGGAAACCTTTACCTTTAACTTTATGCCAGGGGGGCTGGCCCTGCTATCCAACTAGGAATGCAAACTTGCTGTGACGCAACAAGAGCTGCCTGTCCATGCAGTGCTGAACTGACAAACTCAGACCTTGACTGACTACTGTCATGCTGAGTGAGAGAGGCAGGGCACCCCTCCTATTATTATGAATCACGCCCGTCACCCACCCTTCCTCCAAGGAGCTCAGCGTGCAGCTTGTGGAATTTCCCCACTGGCACCTTGTGAGGCAGATGGGATACGGAGGGCCTGTTCCAAGGTCACTGAGCGGTCTTTGTGGCTGAGCAGTTCCCCAAGAGTCAAACACCCCCAAGAAAACAGAGAGAGCTTCTCGGCACCATGCCAATGAGCCACCGCTGAGCAGCGGCTGAGCACCAAGCAGAGGTATGCCGGCCCACAGTCTAGGTCTTCCCTAGAGCGAGGCAGGCACAACGAGGCCCCCGCCCACTGACCACTGGGAGGGAGGAGCTTACCACACTGGCTTTGCACGGTCAATGGTTGTGCGGAGTCTAGGCTTCACGTAGTCATAATATCCTTGGTTTTTGTGCTCCTCCTGACACCAGACCAGGTCGGCATTTGGGTATTTATGGAATTCTTTCAGTAGGAGGTCGAAAGGGAATGGAGAGAGCTACAAGCAATGGAGAAGACCCTTGGTTAAATAGCAACCGGCCCTGGGAACAGCAGACACCAGACAGATAAACTGCAGTGGGGAAGAATGCTAACTTTTGGTCCTTAAAATTGTGCTAGAAGAAGAAGAAGAGATTGGATTTGTACCCCGCCCTTCACTACCCGAAGGTGTCTCAGAGCGGCTTACAAACTCCTTTCCCTTCCCCTCCCCACAACAGCCACCCTGTGAGGTAGGTGGGGCTGAGAGAGCTCTGACAGAAACTGCTCTTTTTCAAGAACAGCTGTGCCAGAATTATGGCTTGCCCAAGGTCAACCAGCCAGGTGCAAGTGGAGGAGTGGGGAATCAAACCCGGTTCTCCCAGATTAGAGTCCACGCACTTAACCACTACACCAAAGTGGGAAACAGGGAAGTGGTTTTTTACCCAAGTGAAAAGCTTACACATTCTAGAAGAAATATTGTGTTCCCAGCATTATGATGCGATTTGGAAGCTAAGGCACCCAACTGCAAAACTGTAAGGAGGGTGGGATTGTTGTTCAGGGGTTGAACACAAGATCTGCACACAAGCGGTCCCTGCTTCAAGTCCCTGGTATCGAGGACCTCGGGGTAGCAGGCGTTCTGCCTACCTGGAGAGCTGCTGTCAGAGCAGATAATGCTGAACCAGATGGACAAACGGCCTGACTAGGTCTGAGCCCCCTTCAAAGCCCCAAAGAGGTTTTGAGTCTGCATGGCAGGAATCCTATTCCTCTGCAAGCAAAGGTGAATGGCAAGCCTTTGACATGCCTGCTTCATGTAAGAAAAAGGATGCTGGCAGACCTGCAAAGATTAACGGGGATTGTTCATAGGTGCAAAAATCTCTGCTGACTTCAGTCCCCAGCATTCTTTGAAGTGCTGCTCAGCACAATCAGGGCCCTGATTGCTAACAGAACTGCAGAACGTACAAGTGGTTCCACCTCAATCTGTGCAGTTCAGCCAAAGTGCTAAAATATTCCCTGAGGTGCCTCCACGGTCAGCCCAGACAAGCAATGGGAAGGGTTAGTCTTGGTTTGCATAGCTGTAAGGAGTCCGGAATAACAGTTCGAAATCTGGTGGAAGATTCCTTCTAAAAACCTCTTCTGGTTCAAAACCTTGGATCAGAAACACTGACGTTCTGGAGGAAGGTTCTATTACACACACATACAGCAAGAGTGTTGGGCCACAGAAATAATTCTACCTGCTCCACCCTTGTAATTGCCACATCGGTTTCCATCTGCCGGGACTTGCGCTCTCGAGTAAGGTCATAATAGACTTTGCCAGTGCAAAAGAGAACTCTCTTGACCCCCTCCGGATTCTGGGCTGCAGAGCCGCTCTCCGGGATGATGCGCTGGAAATGTGTGCCTGCGGGGGAGCACAGGTTAGGGTTAATGCAGATGCTGCTTTTTCAAAAAAAGGACAGCAGATCTTGGCTCACACACTTCCTCAAGGCCGTAACAGTCGCACAAGCGACATGACTGAGGGTTTTTTTAAAAAACCCCAAACACCAATACTGATGCAAGATCTAAGCAGCCTTTCAAATAAACCCTGAGGGAACAGTTGGTGTCCCCCTTGAGGCCAGCAGTCCACCCCACCCCCCCACCCCCAGCCACAGAGAAGTAGCAGATCACTGGTTTGTGAGCTTCAGAGAGCGTTTCTGGTCAGAATCAAAGGGCTGCAAGAATGAACTTCCCCAAAACATTCTGCCCTGCTGGAGGGGGAACTACGCAGAGGGACTGATCCCCTGCCTCTTCCTTCCTTCCTTCCTTGGAGGAGACACACCCAGGTCTGAGCTATGCAAGCACTACAACCGCTTCCTGTGCATGCCACCCCTTGCAGGGCAAGCCAAACATCCCACTATTCAGACCAGTGTCCAGTACAAAGGAGTATGATGTCTGACTTTTATGCATGTGGCACTTCCTAAAACACAAACGTCGCTGGGCTGTTTAGCATAGAAAAAAGGTGAGTAAGGGGAGACATGAAAGAGGCCTGTAAAGTTATGCGTGGTGTGGAAGACAGTGGACAGGGGGCAGCTATTCTCCCTCTCTTATAATACTGTAAGTCATCCACGGAAGCTGAAAGGTGGTGGGAGGTTCAGGGCGAACAAAAGGAACTACTTCTTCACACCGTACATAGTTAAATTGTGGAACTCACTGGTACGTGGCGACGGCCTCCAACTTGCAAGGCTTTAAAAGGGGAGTGGACAAATTCACGGAGGACGGGGCTATCCGAGGCTACTGGCCATGATGGATATCAGCTCCCTCCAGTACCAGAGGCAGGATGCCTCTTTGTGGCAGTTGCTGGGGAGCGCAGATGGGGGGTGGGGATGCTGTTGCAGCCATCCTGCTCATGGGCTCCCTAGAAGCAGCTGATCGGCCCCAGTGTGAACACCATGCTGGACTAGATGGGCCTTTCCTCTGACCCAACAGGGCTCTTTTTACGTTTCCATTAGTGTCAGTTCAGTTCCCCACCCTCCTATATTCTTCCAGCAAGGTGAGACAGAAAGCAGGGTGAAGTCTTTCGCACTGTATTACACAGAGGTGGAGAAAGAAGATCCTTACAAGACAACCGTTTCGGGAACATGTTTTGCCCTACTATGTTTCTAGCTACCACATAAGTAGCATGGAGGATGGGAAATTGGGAGGTGGGGAGACCTGTTAAAATTTGGAAGTCAGTCAGCTAACTTGCTGTCTTATGGCATCAGGGGGAAAAAAGCTGAACGTTCCCAACTGGGTGAGCTCCTGCCAAAGGGTCCAGCTGCCCCCCCCCCCCCAAAATCAAGGACGCTGTTTGCAACCCTGACGATCAAGTCACGTATCGCCCTCCCGGCAGCCGAGTACGAACTTCCTCCCCAAGGTTTCCATACCTGGCAGCATCTCATCAAAGCTGGACCGAGCTTCAGGGTGACGCAACAGTGACTTTGGAGTGAAGACAATCAGCTAAATATAAAAAAAGAAGTAAAAATAAATACAGCCAGCATTGCACACCACAAGGGATGGAAACAGTTTCTGCGTAAGTGCTGAATCACTGAGACTCATGACTCAACAAGGCCCAATCAAAGTCACCACAAGGGCTTCATTTTAAGCAGACAGAATCTGACCCAGGGCACTGCCTATTCAGAAACATGCCTCACACCCAGTGCTCCCTCTAAGCTGAGTTAGTGTGAGCTAGCTCACAGTTTTTTAGCCTCCAGCTCACACATTTTTGTTTTAACTCCGGAAGAATGGCTCCAGAGCAAGCTAATTTATGCAGTAGCCGAATCGCTCACTCACAACTTTAATGCCCGTAGCTCACAAAGTAGAACTTTTGCTCACTAGACTCCACAGCTTAGAGGGAGCTTTGCTCACACCTGAACATTATGGGTGTGTGTGTGTGTGAAATCGGCTAATATTTGTAAATATAGGTAAGGTCAAGTCACAATTATTTTACTAGAAGTAATTGCGTCATTCATACTGAATGACCTATGAACCTGTCCATCAGTTGCTCTTTTTAAGACGCCCCCTGCCTTTGGAGGTGGCTTCTCAACACCAGGGCCTTTCTCCCTGGAGGCATCCCAGTTATGGAACTCCCGCTCCAAGCCGACAGAGCAGCCAGTATCATCACCGTCTTTCAGCCACCCAGCAAAGTCCATTTTGTTTGCTTAATCTTTTAGTGGAAATTAGTATTAATCTGCTCTTAGCAGCTATGTACATATTTTCTTTTCAGGCTGCAATACTAGCTTATTCAATTTATTTTATACTCTCTCAACATGCTTGAAAGTCAAAGACCTAAATGACAGAAAGGCAGGAGAAATATCTTTTAAATGACAAAAGAAAAAACAACAACGAAAGGCTAAAAGAAAAAAAGGAGAAATATACAGGGCTAACCCAATTGCAGAAACAATCCAAATATTCCTTTCAGATGGTAAATTGGGGGTGTGTGTGTGCCAATGAAACAGCACATGATTCCAGCGGTGCACCTTAGGTTTCTTTATGACACTGAGATTATTTTAGGGTGAAAAATCTTGGGGCTCGTGCATGCCTGTGTCAAATCTGAGGTTTGCACCCTTTGCAGTGTTGCTCAGAACACTGGGCTGCTAAGCAGGACAGCCAATGTTTTTGAGCCAGGCCTGTCCGTAGAAGGCTCTATGTGAGGAACCCTTGGGCAGAGGAGAGCACAGCTAGCGTGTAAGTCAGGGGGAGGCTTTCGTTCAGGTAGTCAGGAAATCCTCAATCCGCTGACCTGGCAGCTGGACTTGGCACGGCCTGGCCTCTCTCCAAGAAGTACATGGTTCAGTTGCTGACTTGGCCTTTCCAAAGGAACTGCACACGTAGGAGCCGCACTCATATTTACCAAAGGGAGCAGCTCAAGGCGTGCAGCTTGGAGAGGAAGTCATGATTCCATCCACGGGTGTTTAACAATCGGAAATGGAACCCCTACTGGACGGGATGCTCTGAAGGATGAATTAAGAGCCCTTGCGAAATGATCGGTAGTTTCTGTGTACTGCAATGCCAACTAAAACATTGCTTCTGTCTCCGGGTTGTGTTCTGTGTTTGTGTTCTACGTTTTTAAAAGAAGATTCTTGATTTACAAATATACAAACTGCATTCAGAAATATACAGTCATCTGATTCCCATGAGGACAGAGAAATAAAAACCGCGAATATAAAAAGTACTGGGTATATTAAGCGCAGGGTAAAATCTCTTGCTGAACATTATGTAATCTGTACATTTGATTCCAGCCACTGATGAATGGATACCATTGTCCCCCCCCCCCAAAATACAGCAGTTTTGTGTGGTGCACGGACACAACGGAACGTCAGGGAGGAAACGAGGGCCGGCATGTTCAGACTCATTTCCTCCTCTGGATTGTTGCTCTCAGCCCGGCTTTGGCCCTTAATTACAGCTGCAAGGCTGCAGTGGGCAGGGGGAGGGGTAAGGAGGACGCGCCCATTCTGTGCCGAGGAAGTCGTTCTTCATACTGACCGGCTTCCGGAAGGGGAGAAGTAGCTGCCTCCGCACAACATGGAAAAAATTTGCTGGAGTAGAGCAGTTCACAACAATCCAGTTACAGTCGTACAGCTGGCGCACATCAAAGTCATCTAGTTTCTGCAGAAGGGGAGGCAGGCAGTTTCAAAACAACCGGAAAAGAGGCATGCAGATGTACGGAGCCAAAGCATCAAAAGCAAACAGCCCAAAACTGCCCCATAAAAATCAGTGGTACGGTACAGCGTTGTGCCACATGCTTCCTTGACTGCTGCCAGAGGGTCAAACCATAGCCCGACTACAGTCTTCCCTCACTGAGAACCTCTCTGAGAGTGCTGGCTACGGCTTCTCTCCTGCTTTGCAGCCATTCCACGTGTTACTGTTTCATTTGATGAGAATGCTTCCAGAAACCCTCTCTCAGTGTTTCTCAGGAACAAGTCAAGGCCCTGCACAAACTGAGGGGAGGGGGACCAATTTGGGAGTCCCCTCTCATCTTCCCTTCAAGGATCCTATCAAGGGCTCAAACAAACCAGTTCCCACCAACCCACTCTTAATCTTTCCAGTAATTTACTACCAATTGCTCTCAACATCCTGTGCCTCCTGGAACAGGCTTTTTTTGTTTGTTTTCCTACCCCCTTTTGGTTAACTTTACAGAGTCATATTTTTCTGCATTCCTGGGGAATCCAAGTATGTAAAAATCCCATTCTTGTTTGTTGGTCTTCTACCTTTCCTCATAGCCAGACATTTTTAATATTTAGAGGAATGACAGGACACTGAAAAGAGGCAGAGAGCCCTTCCTCACAGCTACACAACTCACCGGGTAGACATCTGGATCATCGTTGCACATCTGCAGGAATCGCTCGGGTCGGGCAGATGAATGTTCAGGGCCCTGCAAACAAATAAGACTGTTCAAGGATCTGAAGTAGTTTTTTTCCCTTAACTAAACAGTACAGCACACCAAGTCAGAAGTATTTAGGAGTCAGCATTTTCAGGAACAAAATTGTGGCACTTGGCTCCCATATACTAGGATATAATAGTCCAGTAAATGCTAACCCCAAATTTAAATAACGCAACTCAGAACTTGCCCATGGAGTCCTGAACCCCAAAGTCTTTCGTTCCTCCTCGCTTCCTGATTGGCTACACTCAAACCTGCAATGGAAGTAGGTATGCTCCCTACCCCCAAAGAAACGTGAGCCGGTGTGGTGCAGTGGTTACAGCAGCTGACCAGCATCTGGGTCATCCAGATTCAAATCACTTCTCCGCCATGGAAGCTCACTGGATGCCCTTGGGACAGTCACACACACTCAGCCTAACTTACCTCACAGGATTGTTGTGAAGATAAAATGGAAGCGAGGAGAACAATGTAAGCTGCTTTGGGACCCCAGTGGGGGAAAGGGGGGGGGGTTAAATGAAGTAGTTAAATAAAGTAAAGGGGGAGCGGTCACATGTGCCAGATAACGCGGGGGGAAGCGAGGCTATTTGCTCCATAGTAATTTGACCCGCCACTGCGTGATCAGACGCAATGGCGTGTGAATTGGGTTTTTTTCTTCGCTGCGTGTTTCCGGTGCGCTTCAACGAGGGATCACTGATGCAATGGGAGCACGCTGGAGCGATCACACAGGGAAGTCCGTCTGCGGCCTGTCGCAAACCCGTTTGATACTGCACTTTCCCCAGTATTTTTTAACTCTGCTTCTTCGGCGGAGCGAAACGGGTTGCCGACGGGTGCGGGACACTTGCCAGATATTCTCGTATGATCATGCCCTTAAAATCCGCCCAGCATTCGTGCCTATCGCACGGCTAATTCTGCGTGTGATCGGGACCGGGGTTATCATCTACTCCAAGCCTATCCAGATGAATCAAAATCCAAAAAAACTACATACTTATCTGCAGCTGCCCTGGATGCCATAAAACAAGCAGGGACTGAGGAGAAGACCTGTTTTAAGGGCCTGGGACACCCCAGTTGAAGTCCAAACACTTTCAGGCAGAATTTCACAGCCATAAAGGACTATAAACTTGTTTTTTAGGGAGAACTGTGATTCCGAAGGGTCTGCATTCTGTACTAAATTCACCATTCTGCACACTTCTTCCATGATCCTGCACCACCTCAACAGGCACACAGCCCTCCAGTGAGGAAAGTCAGCACTAGTCGGCAGGGTGGGCTTTCACTGTTATGGAGCACATGTGCTTGGGGCACTGTCAGGGTTTGACAGGGGGACAGCTGAGAAACAAATCTGCATTCCCACAAGAAGCAGACTGGCAGAAGTTATTCGGTTTTCCAGAATATGCAAGTGAAAGACATTTCTTTGCACTATTAAGTACACACAGCTCTGATTGTGAAGATCAAGGGTGCACAGCAAATATATTTCTCCACTTGGATCACTGACATAGAACGTCCCTCGGGAATACAGGGGCTGGTCGTCCATGAATGACGGAGACTCCAGTACTTCCATTCAGCAATTTCAACACAAAGTCCAGATGTTACCGCAAAACACAATTCTGGCAGGGTTCTTGGTTGCCCAAGTCCCAGCCTCTCAGATGGCCTTTTAAAACTCCCAAGTTAGAAGCAGATTTTACACATTCTGTTCCTTAGGCTATGCACCCCTGTACCAGCAAGGCCCAACGGAAAAGAAGAACAACGGTGTCCTTACCATGCCTTCCATGCCGTGAGGAAGCAGCAGCACAATGCCATTTTGTCTCACCCACTTGGCCTGCCCAGAGCAGATGAACTGGTCAATAATGCACTGAGCTGTATTGTGGAAGTCACCAAACTGGGCTTCCCACAGAACCAAAGCGTTAGGGCTGGCCATAGCAAAGCCCAGCTCAAATCCTGCAAAGACAACAAATTAGAACATGGGCTCTTTCTGGAACGGTATCAGAGAGTAATCACCTTAATATCTGCAGGGAATGGCAACGTACTCACCGAGGACTCCATACTCTGAGAGGGAGCTATTGCAGACTGTGTAGGGAGCCTGGTTTGGCCACAGGTGGTTCATGGGGATACATGTCCGCTTGTCTACATTCTGATCATGCAAGACGTGGTGCCGGTGACTGGAAGAGTAATGACAGCAGTAAAATGTCACCCGAGGGCTAGGCAGTGGAATTGGTCACAACCATCTTCCAGATAAATCTTCAAAAGTTACTAACCCATTAAGAAAAACAACCTTTACTAGCCCTGTCTGTCCACAAATACTTGCATAAGGTAGTTACAAGATGAAAACAATAAATTCTCTTTCTTCTTGCAATAGCTTGGCTAACATGCAGACAACTGTCGCTTGTCACAGGAGATCAAATAAGGGGCTGTTACAAGCCTGGGTTAGAACAAGCACATGTGCTCCTTGATCCTGTGCTGAGTTAGGTGTGCCTAATATCAGTGAGATCAGAGGGCTTCCATGCCCCGAATCCTGCACGGGAATGCAAATTTAATACATTTACACTATGGTGATCAAGACGTCATTGTCAGCAGCTTTAGAATGCCATCTCCTTAAGTACTAGCAGCAGACCAAGATACACTGGTACTTTGAAATGTCATGTAAGCTTGTACATTTTTGGCCCGTGTACAGGGCCGGCTCCAGGTTTTTTTTGTACACTAGGCGAGGCTACCTTCTGGAGCCCCCCCCGGGTGTGCCTGCCAATTATGGGGTTGCCAACCTCCAGGCAGGGCCTGGAGAGAAGGAAGACTTTCCTCTGTGCAAACTCTGCACTCCCTTGGAAAGTGGCACTACTGTCCAGTTACAAAGCTCAGCAGTTGCCCTCGCCAACTGGGGGGGGGGGGGATTGC